AGTGTTAAACCACATTGGTTGTATACCACCTAATGGTTAAAGAGATATTTATTTGTTAAAGAGATAGTTATTTGATTATGTGCAAGTTACATGAATCACTCTGTATGTATATGTGTAAGTAACATTTCAATTGATGAGACAACAACGTTTTTAAGGGTGATTCTGGAGGACCATTGCAATGTCGCCGCGCAGATGGAGTGTGGCAATTGGCAGGTGTTACTTCTTTTGGATCAGGATGTGCTAGACCAGGATATCCCGACGTCTATACTAGGATACAGTATTACGTGAAATGGATAAGAAATATCATGAACAGTGACGATGACACGCAATTTTTATAATTGTAATCCGTATGTTAATATGGCGTCTATCTTGGAATGTAGATATAACAATTATGTAAATATTACTCGAACAGGCAAGTAGACCATTGTACATATACGTATACATTTTCCCATTTTCACATGTATGATTCAACGTATGTATGATTTTTATATAAAGAAAAGCACTTTTATATATCCTCTGGTCTGTGAAATGCCTTTTAAACAACTGACTCCTCCGGTGATCCAAATTTTCTTATTTACACTGGATTTCCTATTGACCTCATTTGTTCAGATTTTCCATTATTTTCCATATACAATCGCAAAATCTGTATACCTTGCATACAGGATCGCACGATGCATCTGAAAACCATAAAACTTCGATTTCAATGGGAATAGAACAAGCGTAGTACGTGTACACAACCTCTACCGGTGTGTTATGGAAATGAAACCACTAGAAAGTTACAAAGGCGAGCCGTCTTAGCCCCGAACCAGGGGCTAAGATATCCTTCTATTTTCTATGGATACACGCACACACGCCAATATACATATTTACTTGTAACATACAGTAACTCAAAATTATTACATATAGGAAAATCTGCGAGAGTTCATTAATGCTGTTAACGAGTAACATTATTGTGTACATACATATTACACGTATGCAGACTGTACATATGCGTAGACTATACTAACGACTATGTAACATTTTATAAAATTCAAGCGTTTGTTGTCACCAGCAACTATACATTATTCTTGTGAATCCTCCTAGAAGAAGTTCATTGTTATTAATCTAGAGAGAAACTTGCAAAGTTAGGGATTACACTGCCTATATATTCTTTTAAAAAAGTTCCCACAAGTGTTGGGATGCTTCTGCGAGTTACTACATGCACAGTTGGAAACGATACGTTAGATCGTTTCTATGCCGGAATAGGAATATTTGCATTTATACGACACTCGTGGGGGAAGAGAATCCAAAGTTGCTCCACCCTTTCTGAACGTTGTAGATTGTAAATTCGACGTTACGCAACTTTATGATTGTGGAT